CCCCCCCCCCCCTTGTGAATGTGTAAAAATCCTTTAATTGAAAAAAAAACACAACAAAGGATTTTTGACAACTCCTTTATTGTTAACCCCCAACCCCCCCAAAAAATTTAGCCATTGACGTAATCCAGGGTCAATCACGACGTCTAGCGTTGTCCACGACGACGACGGCTTGATGGATTAAAAAATAAAACAATAAAAAATAAATAGAAATAATTTTTAAAAAAGACGACCGCTGTCCCGTCTGCTCGTGACGAACACCCTCAGAATAATAGCATTTTGACAGATGCCGGGAAAGCAAACAATTGTGTACAGTTTCACATCATCTGACAGGTGAGCCATGATTGGGCAAAGTCATCACGACTTTGCCCAATCATGGCTCTTACAGAGTACTGAGCCCTGATTGGGCAAAGTCTTGCACCTGACCTCTGGTCAGGTGCAAGCCTTTAGCCAATTGGGGCTTCACAAGGCACATTGCCTTGTGGGGCGTTTAGCGGTCGAACAGACTGCTGAACGCCCTTATAGTTCATGTGTTCAGCGAACACACGAACTAGCGATGTTCGAATCGACCTTACGTTCAACACGAACATCCAGCACGACCCTCCTCACCAAATAGGAACGTGGATAATGGTCCCTGGCCTCACACCAAGCAAAATAATTTTTTTGCGAGGTAGCCTTACGAGCCTTTAGCACAGTGGGAATAACAGATTCCGACAAACCTCTATCTCTAAACACCTGGCTTTCAACACTCATGCCATTAAAGCCAGCGACAGCAGGATGGAAGATGGGTCCCTGTGACAGAAGATGCGGCCAAGGTGGTAGACGCCAGGGCATGTCCATGACCAGAAACAATACATCTGCATACCAGGCCCTTCTTGGCCAATCCGGGGCCACTAGGATGATGAGAATCCCTTCGGCCTCTATTGTAGGGAGAAGTCTCAGGAGGCATGAATCAGACTAACAGTCCCACGGAGCCATCACAGCATCTGTCGGATCCACCTAAGAATCCTGTGTCCTGGCTACGATACGATCGACCTTTCTGTTGAGGCAAGATGCCAGGAGATCCACGTCCGGACAGAGGCAAATCTGTTGCAACACCTCCGGGAGTAGCATCCATTCCCCCGGATCCACCGACTGGTGGCTGAGGTAATCCGCCTTCCAATTGTCCATTCCCGGAATGTACATCGCGGGAGAGAATCTCGGACACTTCCTGTGCCGTAGTTACTCTTCTTCCACCTTGTTGATATATGTAAGCCTCTGCCGTGACATTGTTCAACTAAACCCGTATCAGCAAGTCCTGAAGTTGACAAGTCCAGTCCCGAAGAGATGACCCAATTGCTCGAAGTTCCAACTCATTGATTGAAAGGTGGGTCTCATAAGGACAATCACCGTCACTGAGCTGTCCAGGACTCCAGGATCCCTCACCACGCTTGGAGGCTCACATCCATTGTCACAACCGACAAGTGAAAGATTTCCCTTACGACAAAGCTGCAGAGCAACGCCACCAGAGGATAGAAGCCTGTGCTGCTCGATTCACATTTATTTCCATACCCAGCGATGAAGGACATTTGTCCCTTTGCAACAAGATGTTCCTCTGCAGA